GTGAGGGAGGAGGAAGAGAGCCTTGACAAAAGAATTTGCATTTGAAGAGGAATTTAGCATATTTATGGGAAATGCAGGAATGCGAATAGTGCTAATTGCATTTACTTATTTGCGCCAGAGCCTGACAAGCGGCTTCATCGTCTGCAGAATGCAAGTGTCATCTGACCGCTACGCAACCCTTCCAACTAACACTTCGAGACGTTGGGTTTCATTTCAAGTGGTCGGAACCCAAGCCTCCAATTATGGAAAATAAACATCACCTCCAAAAACAACGGAAAATTAAGAGGCAGCTGTCATTTTTCACACCCTTCTCACAATCCTGTAGCCGGAGCAGTAAAAGTAATAAAAACAAATGCGTAATAAAATGGCAAGATAACATGTATTGTGAAAGATTTTTTAAATCTATATTTTTCCAGTCTGGTGATAGGATTAAATTGGGCCGCGAATTGTAAAGATTACAGCAGTTCTGAAATTAAGTCTTCTGTATTCTTTTCGATTTAAAGCTTTCGTGACTGCAGGGATTCATTTTCTTGGTTCTTTCGGTAAAGTCACGTAGAAGGGAAATAATAAAATAATTAAAAGAAAACATAATAAAATACAATTCTCACGACGTTTCGGCCACAACGCAAGCAGCCGTCCTCAGGTGAAGAACAGGTCTGTCGGAAAGACGCTGCTTGCGTTGTGGCCGAAACTTTCGTGAGAATTATTTTATTTTTTATTTTTATCATTTCATTATTTCCCTTCTACATGACTTTACCGAAATAACCAAGAAGATATTCTGTATTCGTTACTCCACATCTTCAGGTGTCGAAATGTCACGTCTTCCGCACTTGTTCCACCGTTTCAGGTCTTATTCGTGCCACGGGAAGTCCAATTGAGCCACATAGGCAGCTAGCTTCGGCGGCAAAGACCCGCAGCCACTAACAATACTGGAGATCTGTGGGAAAGGGCTTCATAGCTCATAGAATTCCTCCAGTCTCAATAAAGACTGTGATTCTGAATAGTTCATGTTGGGGTGGAGAAGGAGCCCTGACCAGCAGCCAGCCAGGAAACTCAAGACGTCAGGTTTTTAATCATTTCACAAAACTCCTGTTTATATATAAAAAAAAATAACAGCCTAAGCTTATATTCTTGGTTCTTTCGGTAAAGTCACGTAGAAGGGAAATAATAAAATGATAAAAATAAAACAATACAATTCTCACGACGTTTCGATTGCAACACAAGCAATCATCATCACACCTGATTATTATTTTATTATTTCCCTTCTACGTGACTTCCCCGAAAGAACCAAGAATATGAATCTTTGCAGTCACGAAAGCTTTAAATCGATGCCTCAGCTTACATGAAGGAAAGCATAATACACGTTCACCAGTCTGTCATGGTCTTCACAGCAACATTAGAATGTGTAACATAAACAAAATACGAATTCGTCAATAACACTGCTTTAAATTGAAATATAATTGATGGTCCCCATGAAGGGTCATTGCCCGAACCGTCGCCTAGCTGTTAATGTTCGATTTGAGGCCAGTGTTTTTGGTGACTAATATGTTGAGTTTGTTACAGTACTGTATGTCTGCGCAGCCCTGCGAATGCAGCAAATAATCCGTGATATATACTTTGATTAATCTAAAAAAAACCCTAAGAATATGAATATTTGATTAATCTACTTACATATTTTACATAATCGATTGTGTATCAATACAAGCATTCTATGCGTATGAATCGAGAGCCAGACTTATAGGCTGCTCCAGATGTCTTGTGACCCCCCCTCCCCCAATTATTTGACTACTAACATTGTTTTTAATTTGCATATTTATTTATGTTTAAAATATTTATTTAAAAATAAAGTTTTAGGATAATTAAATGGGGGGGGGGGGGGTCACAAGACTTCTGGACTACCCTGCACTCCCATCGCCGGCTCCGATTGGTCGCCAGTAATTGTTATCGGTAATCGATTACCCTGATCGATTCACGCGCGCATATCAAAACTAAAATTGAATCTAGAATAGCGTCTCGGCCTCACTTTAAGAGCTCAAGCGCGATTTGCTCGCACTGAAGCCCACGTGGTATGCGCGTAATTAACATAACCTAATTTGCATAAAATAATTAACATAAATGATTAACATAAAACAACCGTCGCGTACCACCCAATCAGCGCGCGCGTATCCACAACTCGCAGTCAACGGAAGTTGGAGGGGGGAGGAGGTGGGGGGGGGGGCGTGTGTAGCAGTGGGGGTGGGTGGGTGGGGTGGGGGGAGGTGTGGAAGAGTTGGGGAGAACATTCCATTGGCCCCACCCCAATATCTGAAATCCAACCAATGGGGTGTCGCGCTTTCGCTCGCCACCGGCACGTGATTACCTATCGACCAACGGGCAACAAGAAAACAAAAGTAACCCCCCCCCCGCCACCCACCTCTCTCCATCAGCTGGTGGCCGATGACGCCGCGCGCGCGCACCAATTTGGTTTGCGCATGCGCTTCCGCCGCCATCTTGGTCAGGGGTGGTTTGTGGTGGGGGTGTTGGGTAACTGTCGCTGGCAACACAGCTGGTGGTCGTGACGTCACGTGCTGTGACGTCACTCCCTCACGGAGAGTCACGCGGTCGGAACCCTTACCAAGATGGCCGCCTCCGTGTCGATCTTGGCAACGGCAACGCACGTGGTCGCCGTGTGTGGCGTTCGTTACAAAGGCGACGGCGTGCGGGCAATTTCCCCTCCCCGCCCACCACCACCACCACCCCTCGTCTCTTCGGCACCACGAGGGCGGAGGCGCCATTTGTGATGGTCGCTCATTGAAAGCAGCGCCAGCCCGCCCATCCCTTTCGTTTACATCCCCCCCCCCAATACCACCATCGTCATTGCTCACGATGGCCCAGCCTCCTCCTCCATCCACTCACTACAAACCACCAACCCACCATCATCAACCACTCGAAAGGCTGCAAACAACCACCGCCGCCATTCACTCACGGCAAATTGAGCTCCGTTCCCGCCTTCGAACGGCCGTGACCGTGCGACGCAAACGCGTGTTGCGAACAGAAGGGCGGCCCTGCGAAGTGTTGTGGTGTTGCGAGTGATCAAAGCAAGGGGGGCTGGCTGGGCTTGTTGTTGTGAGAGCAAATGAACACCCCACACCCCAAGACACGAGGTCTCCCCGCACGCGTCGCCCCGAGCAGCAGTCGGGATCCCTCCGCGCAGCTGACGCTGCTGCTGCTGCTGCCCACGAGATCCGTCACCACATCACGGATGGGGCGATGGGTTGCGAGTTGTTTCTAAAGTATGCTCTTAGGTTTTTTTCGGTAAAGTCACGTAGGTAAAAAATTAATAATACAAATAAAAATTATAGAAATAAAATAATTTTAGATTATTATTTTTTTCTTTTTTACCTACGTGACTTTACCGAAAAAAACTAAGAGTATGAATTATTGCAGTCACGAAAGCTTCAAATCTAGAATTGTTTCTCTAAAGTCACATTGCTTTTTGTTGAACCGATAATAATCGATAGGTTCTGTGCGGTTTGGTGTTTATTGGGAGGTTTGTACGAGACACTGATACGATTGGAAAAATAATTGCAATATTAGTAGTGGCCACGATCGATCCACTGCTGGATGAAGCCCCCCCCCGCTTATCGTCACCATTCACGATGCTGCTATTTATATGGGCCACTTGCAATCATCACGTGAGATGATTTTTAATCGATCAAGTCTTTAACCACGTGGACGTGAATATCGGGACGCGTTCCATCCCGGACATTCGCAGGCCTCCAGACATTTCCGAATAAATAATAAAAAATAAATCTATTTTTACATTAACAAAAAAAACTGCCCTTTAAATATGCGAAGTAGAGTCTAAAAAACTGGGGTTGTGGGTGACATTATAACAAGTAGACGTTCGTCACAGCTTTTACAAAGTATTTGCCGTAAACATTATTATTCTTGGGTCTTTTGGTCGGTAAAGTCACGTAGATATGTTCAAAGAAAATAAAAAATTACACCGTTTCGATCGCAACACAAGCGGTCGTCTTCAGAATGTGTTTATATCGACGTGACTACCGAAAGACTCAAGAATATGAATACCTGCAGTCACGAAAGCTTTAAGTCAAGATGCATAACTGATGTAAACAGTGTTGAGAGAACAAGAATAAGATACAATACTTTAAAGTAACACCCTACGTGCTCAATTATCAGGGGCAAACGTGTTTCGACTCAGCTTCCACTCCTTTATTCGAGATATTTTTTAATGTCACGATAAACCTTCATCTATAGCGACTATCACCATTATAATACATATGAAAATTAAGTGTTGGTTGTTTTTTTATTGTGTTGAGATAGAGCATTTGAAATCAGTGGAGGTGCATCATCATCATCATATCGTGTCAACCCATTCGATTCACCCCCTATTCTTGTCCATACGGCGTAAAGCAGTTTTAATACGGACAAAACATTTGTGTTGTATTTCTCCCTTGTGATGGGACTTTATAGGATGAACATTGACATTTTAAGAGAACGGGTTGACCAATACGCTCTAAATTAGTCCGCGTAATAAGCCACGCGCTGATAAAAAGAACTACAAAATATGCCATCAACCCCGTCAAATCGTGACCCACACAAGTCTCCACTTAACCGAACGTGCTTTGCGGCGACTAAAATTAAAATTAAACACAACCCCCCCCCCCGGCACCACGCGGCCACCAATGTAGTGCTTTGTTGACACGTGGGACGTGCAGCGGAGGCAGCGCACGCGGCCCCGGCGGTGGGGGCCCGAGGGGGGGGGCTCGAGGGGGGGGGCCGAGGGGCGGGGCTCGAGGGGGGGGCGGTGCTGCGGCTCGCCCAGCTGTTTCCCGCCATTTTCGGGGCCTCTCCCTCCGCTCTCGCTGCTCTCTCGCTCGCCGCGTGTGTGTGTCCCCAACACAACAACCACAACCAACACCACCCCCCCCCCGACACCAACACCCCCCCACACCACCAACACCCCCCCCACATCACCAACACCCCCCCCCCCGACACCACCACCCCCAGCCCCCCCAGCGCCCCCCCCAAAGCCACGCTGTGCTCGCGTCGTTTCTACCACCAGCAGCAGCAGCGGCAGTGTCAGTCATTGAAGTGTCTCGGTGGAACAGTCGCTGAGAGTTGCGAGAGGTGAGCAGCAACAGCAGCAAGAAGCAGCAGCAAGAAGCAGCAGCAGCAAGAAGAAGCAGCAGCAACAGCAAGAAGAGAAGCAGCAGCAGCGAGGCTGTGTTAGTCCCGAGTAGTTGCATTTAGATGCAGAAGTAGCAGCAGTAGCAGCTGCTGCTGCTGCATCGACAGTGTCCAGCAGCAACAGCTGAAGCGTTCGATCGGTGGTCAGTAGTTGAACCCACATCGACTGCAGGCAGCGGAAGCGGCTTCATCATCATCAGCAGCTGCTCCATCACCATCAAGAGGAGCAGCATCACCATCAAGAGCAGCATCCGCAGCTCCATCACCATCAAGAGGAGCAGCATCACCATCAAGAGGAGCAGCAGCATCACCATCAAGAGGAGCAGCAGCTTCATCACCACCATCATCAGCAGCAGCAGCTGCCCTCGCTGCTGCCCCCCCCCCCCCCCCGGGCAGCATGGCCTACTTCGTGGTGCCTTCGGAGAACGCGGCCGCCGTGGCGCTGGGAGACTTTCGCAAGGCGGAGCAGGAGGTCATCGGCGGCCTGTGCAGGTCGGTCGGGCGTTGTTGCCGTTTCGAGTTGCGTGCGACACGGTGATAGAGACACAGAGAGAGAGAGAACAAGTGTTGACGAAGGGGGGGGGGGTAGGAGGAGGAGAGAGAGAGCTGCAACACGGGAGGACGGGGGGACATCGCACGCCGCGCGCGCGTTGCGCACTTTCAATATTGCGCGTGTGCTCGCTTGTATCGGGTTGTTGTTTTGCACGGCTAGACGTGGGCATTGTTTGTTGTTGCGAGCGGTAATCGGTGTTTTTATTTAATCAGGGGAGCAGCAGCCCCCCCTCCCTCCCTCCCTTGTCGTGGTGTTGTCGTTTTAAACGCCGCCCGAGCGCCTTTGGCGCGCGATTGTGTTGAAAACATTGGCCACGTGGTGACCACGCCGCCCCCCCATGTTTGTAGGGGAGACGCGGGAGGGAGGAGATTTCGTGTTTGTAGAGGTGGCCGACAGGGAGTTGTTGGGGTGGGGTGGTGATGTTGTGTAGAGAGGAGAGGTTGTAGAGAGGGAGAGGTACGTGTGTAGGAAGGTTGGTGGTGGGGGGAGATTGGAAGATGAGCGGTCAACGCGGAGATGGCGAGAGGTGGTGGTGGGGTGGAGATCGTGTTACGGTGATTTTGTGTAGGAAGAGATGGGATGCTTGAAGAGAGCAGGCACAGATGGGAGTCTGTGGAAGAGAACGGAGATTTTTTTTGGGGGGCGGGGGAGGATGTAATGTAGTGGGAGAGGAGAGATGATGGAGAAGGGAGGGGGGGCGGTTGTTGTGGAGAGCAGGGGGAGAAGGGAAGGCGAGAATGAGTCCACTGGAGGGGTAAACGATGGAGATGGGGACAAAGCGGGAAGAGATGTACCGTAGAGAGATGGAAGGGAGAGTGGGAAATGAATGTATTTGTGTGTGTGTGGGGGGGGGGGATGCTGGGAGCGGCAGCAGAGGAAGAGTGCGGAGCTAGGGAGGATGAGGAGGAGCACGTGGCGGAGATCGTGAAGATTGTGGGACCGCGTGTCGGGAGAAGGGAAAGAGAATGGAGGGGAGGGAGGGGAGAGCTTCCCATATGTCAAGTGCGAGAGAGAAGCGTTGTTCAATTAGCTCGTCTTGCACGTGCCGCAGCTACTGCTGCATCAGCAACGATGGCGATGACAAAACACGTGGTGGGCAGCCCACGTTGCACGGAAATTCCACGTTACTCTGGCCAGGAATAGATTTTCCACCCACGCAACAGCCAACGTCGTTGGCGGCCCCAACCAAAGCGATGCGCTTTGGCTTTTTTAATTTTTACTCCGGAGCAATCGATGATGTTGATTAATGATCGGGGTCGAGTTTCACCATCGGTCTGGTGTTTGCAGCCTCGATGCAATGAGTGCGTGCTAGAGGTCGACCCCCCGACATGTACACAGGCACGCACGTGTAACTACTGTCATCCAGTGGGGAGAATGGTACGAAGTGCAGTTGTGTCTACGGCTTGTTGTAGTGGCGACACGTGCTGCTTTGGGAGTCTTTGCGTCTGGTTTGACTTGACTACGCAGTGGGAAAGATGGATAGGGGGTGGTCCCATAGCAATGCAGAATAACTTGGCTGCAACATGGACGGGTAAGGATACTAAAACAAGATTTTTTACATAATATATAATCAAACGCACTTAGTATTAAGTGGCATTGTTTAAATCACTTGTACGCACTTTTACTGAATATGCACTTGGAAGCTAATCAGAGTTCTCGCTTGTTAGCTACATGGATGGGTCAACAGTGTGGGAATCACAGATGCTGTGTAGGATTGGAAGGTGTCAGTACTGTATATGGATTTATTACAAAAACATTTATTGTTTGGTTTCCTTCCAAGTGAAGTCCGTGACACTCGTTAATGTAATTGACCAACCATCCCGGTGCAGTATCTTCTTGCACAACGAGTCTTGAGACTCGTTTGCCAATGTGTTAACATTGTTTCATTGCGGTGGTATAAGTTAATACAGCCACGCTCTCTTGCTGGGGTTATCACAAGTACTGTATGTACCGTTTGCAACATGTTATTTACAATAACGGGGTGGTTGTCATTGAGTGTCTTGAGACATTTAATTTAGTATAAAGAGGTTTACATCGAGTCAAATTCTACATTTACGCATTGCGATTGTAGTTTTTAAAAGTATTTTGAGACCAATTTATAAAATAATAAGACGCTTTGGAAGTAAATAATCGGCCCAAACATGTTCCCAGTGTCTAAAGTTATACAAACTGGTCACTAAGACGCATCCCCAGTTTTTGCTATGGGAAAGTGGATCTTATAAGTCCCGCCTTGATAGACGCATTCCATTCAAGACTTCATTTATATTTTAATACAATTGATTGAAGACGCCGTAAACAACTGAAGTTATTTGTACAAGTGAATTGATTTCTCATACATCCAATTATACATTGGGGGGGGGTCAACGGGCAGGTTTTTTTTTTACGTAAAAAACTATTCAATTTAAACTTACTCCTAAATATCCGATCTGTTATAGTCCGTACCAAAAGGACGATTTTTTTACTGAATATTTTTGTTGCAAAACCATCCCACGCGATGCGCGTCTTAACGAAATGGGCATTGATCCGGCTTCTCTCGCCCGGGAGAGCTCTCCAATTGCTGCCGGTGAAATCGTTTTGTTCGTCGGACAAGTATCGAACAAAATGAGACGATTGGAAAAGGGGGTAAGGGGGGGGGAGAGAAACTTTGGTTCGCAGCAGCAGCAGCAAGCACGTGGACTGGGGTAGCCAGCGCGTGGAGCCTGTAAATGAATGGGAGTAGGAGTGGCGCCGCTCATCATGGGGTTGGGCAGAAGGAGAATTTGCTGCTGGGCATCTCCTAATGCCTTCCCCTCCCTTTCCTTTCCTCTCCCCTCCGGACTGGCCCAGCCCCTCAGCAGTCGTAACTCGCGGTTTCCAGGAGACACCGGGGGGAGGAGGAGGGTTGAGAGAGAGAGCGGGAAAGGCGCGCGCACGTGCAGAGCCTGAATAGGGGGCCATCCATTGAGTGCGTAATGCATGGTGGAGGGGGGGGTAACCCAAATGCGTACGCTTGTGCGTATGGGGGGGGGGGGGGAGGGCTACTGACAATGTGCGTACGATAATAATTTGTCTACATTGGCCTTCAAATGAGTTGGATAGTCCGGCGGTGGACTATCTGTTTGCTTAAACACGTTAATATTATTCATCCTTGCTCGTTTCTGCGTGGATTAAATATCGGCCGTTCTATAGGATTCGGGGGGGGGGGTGCGTCAAGCGTATGTACGCACGCAGGTGGGGGGGGGGGTCAAGTTGCGACAGATTTTTGCATACGTACTAAATGGATGGCCCCATAGGATGATTGCAAGAGGAGCAGAGAGCGGGGTTGGTGTGTGTGGGTCTGCGTGAGTGGTGTGGGCATGACACGGTGCAGCATCGGCTAGAGCGATGTGTGGTAGAGTGGTGGTGTAGATTAGCAGTGTACGTGGCTAACAGGATAGAGCGGTGTGGTTCTGATCGAGTGGAGTGTGAGTGGTGGAGCATGGCTGGTCGAGGCCATAGCGGTGTGCGTTTATGAGTAGGGTAGATTGGTGTGGGTCTTTCTGTGGTGTGCATTGGGATGGGATAGCCTACACTGGAGTGTGCTTGCACGAGTGGGGAGGGGGTGTCGTTGGAGTCGTCTATAGAGCCGTGTCAATCTATGATCGATCGTGGTTTTTGGCTCTCGGAGTAGGATGGGCAATGGCTGGCAGGCTACCGTGCTGCGGGTCGCGTCTCTAGAGATCAGTGTTCTTCTCATTGCAAGGCCCGCGGGCCACTGGCGGCCCCTGATTGCCTTTAGTGCGGCCCCCGACAGTACACAAATGTGACCCCCCCCCCCCACCATTATCAAGCTGCTGTCAAACCCCAATGGTTTCAAATGTGTGGCGGCCCTCGCACTGATGATGTCTTATCGGCGAAAGTGGGGCTCCATTCCCTGAAAATTCGCGAAGAACACTGGGTGGGAGTGGGGGGGTTAGAGTGTTGGGGCTCGCGTCTCTGTACTGAGTTGGGGGCCATGGGGCAGTGCACGTGGCGCCCCCTGTAGGCCGCAACACGTGCGCGGCCACAGCTGATGGAAGCTCCCGCCACGTGACCGGGGAGGGGCCGTGGAGGGGGGGGGGCGGGTGACGTGGGGGTGGGGGGGAAGCGACCGTGGGTAGGGGGAGTGGCTGTCAGTTGGGAGGGGGGGGGGGTGACGTGAGGGGGGGAGGGGTCGTGGAGGAGGATCGGGGGGGGGTGACGGGGGGGGGAAGCGGCCGTTGGATTGGGGGGTGTGACGTCAGGGGGGAGGGAGGGAGGGGTCATGGGGGGGTGTGACGTGAGGGGGGGGAGGGGTCGTGGAGGAGGATCGGGGGGGGGTGACGGGGGGGAAGCGACCGTGGGTAGGGGGAGTGGCTGTCAGTTGGGAGGGGGGGGGGAAGCGGCCGTTGGATGGGGGGGGTGGTGACGTGAGGGGGAGGGGGTCGTGGGGGGGGGTGGTGACGTGAGGGGGGAGGGGGTTGTGGGGGGGGGTGTGACGTGCGGGGGGGGGGGTGTGACATGGGGGGAGGGGGCGTGGGGGGGGTGTGACGTAGGAGGGGGGTGTGTCCCCCTTTAACTGTGCGCGGCCACATGGCGGACCAGTCACCGTGTTGCTGTTGCCACTGCACGAGGGATGGGGCCCTCTCTCCGAGCCGGGCTCCGACAGTCTCGTAAAGGAAAGCGGCGGTGGCGGCAGCAGCAGTCTCTCATTGTGACTGTTCAATGGACGGGCTCCCGTGTTTCTTTTTTGTTGCACGGAGTTGCCCCTCGTCAACAACATCTGTTCGTCCAAAGTAGTAAATTGTGTTGTTTACAAGCCCGCATTTTTTTTTTGCTGAACGTGACCACAAAAGGTGGAATTGCGCGCGTGGGTTGGATGAGGGTCTTATAGAATTGGTGTGCGTTGAATGAACGAATGCTGCTGGATATTGTATGTCCGGAAAGCTGACGAGCTTAAATAATGTGTTTGAATGTTGGGGGCCCGTTACCGGAGTTTTGGATTACGTTCATTTTAAGGAAAGCATCGTTTGTAATCCCCGGCGCAAGGCGGAACAACGTCGATGCAAGTTGTTGAAGGCTTGTGTCCCCGAGCCGGCGGTCCCGTGGACGATGCGGCCACAATCTGCAAATGATTAAGCTGCCGCTGCTGCCTGGTTTGGCCCAAACACTCACGCGTAAATTATTATCAGTCCATGACGACACTAGGAGTCCCCGATACAATACACAAAGGTCCAATGGCTCATTGATGCGCAGAGTTGGCAGCAAATTGTGACCGGTGAGCATTCATTTAATACCCGAGGGGGTTAATCCAGAACATAAATAACAACAGCAGCAACAGCAGCACCAAGGATGGGAGATCCTCACAGCCACGCGAGCCAGCTTTCAGATTTCAAAAAGGGGGAGCAAAATCTGTTGTCATGCAGGTGCTAGGTGGATCATAATATCGCATGATAGTGAGAGGAAGGCGATGGTCTCGTGGAGGCTTTCATACAGCGGTGGATTAGCCATGGCTGATGACGAAATGAGCAACAAAAATACGCTGGGAGGAGGGAGGAGGTGATGTGAGGTCGGGGCTTTGCCCACTCGCTGTGGAAGAAGCTACAGGTGGCTTTCAAGGTCCCAAGCAGCACAAGGCGTGGGGGTTGTGGAGTAGGAGCCCTCCATGGTGCTGCTGCTGCTGTTCGGGCTCTCAGTGGCACGGGCTTTGTCCCAATGAACCTTATATACCCCGCATGAGCAGTCAACCCTGCCCCCCCCCGCCACCTGTATGAAGCCACCTTTGCTGTTTAACATCGAGCCGATGCACCTGTCCATTGTCACGTGACTGTACCACCTACATGTTCGCAAAGTACCGCTGCGCATGTGATGAATGCCCCCCGTGAGCATTCTCTAAGCACGGTTGTTCGGAGCGTTTTTTGCTAATCGGCTTGTCTTTTAGCTATTGGACCAAAACGCGGCTTATTGGTAGCAAGTGCGAATACATATTTAGATTAACTTTTTATCCCTAGGTTAGAAATACGTGTGATAGCAAGGTCACAGTGATAGCTGCTTTTGTGGCACGTTAAAGAGGGGCACCCTAGTACGCTTTATGGAGAACATCGTTTTGGTGAGGGAAGAAAAATGCAATATGAAACATCCGCAGAAGAGGCCAGTAAATCGGAAGACTTTATACAAAACAGTTTAGACGCTAAGCGTTCTGCCCTTGGTGGACACTGCCCATGGTGTATATACTAGCGCATATATATATTCTCTGGTGGTACCGACCAACTTAATCATGTATTATAGTTTATAATGGGGTGTTGGCAAGATGTTAACTACCTCGCCTGGTATGCAGAAGGTCGTGGGTTCGATCCCCACCCTGACGCCTGCTGTATGTTTGGAGTTGGCGTGTCTCTCTCCCCGTGGTCACGTGAATTTTTCTCCAGGTCCTCCGATTTTTTATTCCTCATTTAGAAACGCGCGTTTAGAATATTTGGCTGCGATACATTTCCGGAGTATAAGCCACTTGGTTGAGCTATCATTTGTGGCCAGGTCGCTTATGAAAATATATCTATTTTGCTCAGTGGGCCTTACCTGGTGAAATAAAAAAAAATGTAGAAAAAAAATAATTGAGTTTTACTTCAACCTGCTTGACTCATGAGCCAAGTGGAATGTTTATTTTTCATGATACATCACCTGCCAGGATTATGTTTTGTGGTTTGTGTTAGAGTTAATCACTAAAAAAAATGAACGTGGCAGAATGCTAGTTTATGAAGACGTTTACCTCATGCCATGGATTTAACAATTCACTGATTGATATGGATTGTTATGCTAATCTTGCATGCTTCAAATTGTGCTTGTAAAAAAATAATTTCTGATATAAACATTTTTAGCACTCTTTTAAAATGCACACTGCTATAAATGTATGCGCACACGTACATCGTTAACCTGATTTGTGACCTCGGATCATGTCCCTGAATGACAAATTGGAGAATTGTGACCCGCTCCCTGTTCGTGACCTTAAATGGTGACCCTGGAATTGTGACCGTCCACCGAGTTGTTTGCGCGTCTCTGAGAGATACCGTGCGTCTCGCCTAGACTCGCTGTGTCTCACCCAGACGCTGTCTCTCACCACTGTCTCACCGTGCGTGTCTCACAGCCTGGGTAACGTGTCGGTGGGCTCCCCCGAGAGCCAGCGCGACACGGAGCGGCGCATCCGCCGCGAGATCGCCAACAGCAACGAGCGCCGCCGCATGCAGAGCATCAATGCCGGCTTCCAGTCGCTCAAGACCCTCATCCCGCACACGGATGGCGAGAAGCTCAGCAAGGTACGCACCCATCGGCGTGCGCATCTCTTGTGTGTTTGTGTGCCAACGACTGGTAGCAGCGGTGTCACGACCTGCCTCAGAGTCGCTAACTATGGATGAGTGAGGAGCAGCTCAAACTAGCAGGCGCTCTTTTTTTTATATCGCAAACATGATTAATCTGCAACCCGGATAATACACCCATGGGTTACAAGTTAAACAGATTGTTTTGAGTTTATCCGTTGATACCAATTCAATGCTGAGCACTGTCAGTGCACACAGGTGGCTTCATTTTTGTAGCTTTTTCTCACACGTTGAAGTGTTTAGTAATCATCAGGCGTGTTCTGCGCGTAACAACGTAAGGGAGGCGGGTATTGTGGTGGGTTTGGAGGACTTTGTGTTTGCGAAAACCCCTCCGTTGTATGTAGGGGAATGACGGTGTGGCCATTGGTGCAACTTGTCATTCCCTCAGCAACCCAGGTTCAAATCGTCGCCATAATTTATACGACGACTTCAACGATTCCATCCAATTCTCGAGCTCTCGCTAACGTCGCATCAAACTATAACGCCAGAGAATCGATTTAATTACAAAAGCCACGCCGACTTGTTGCCGTGCCGCAGGCCGCCATCCTGCAGCAGACGGCGGAGTACATCTACTCCCTGGAGCAGGAGAAGACGCGGCTCCTGCAGCAGAACGCTCACCTCAAGCGCCTCGTGCAGGTGAGGGGCGACAGCAGCGCCGCGCGGGGCAACCGTGCTGATAACCCGGCTCCCCCACGGGCAGCGAGTCGGCAACGGGATCAATGTTGTGGGGAACCTTCCACGGCAGCAGGATCGGGGGGGCGAGTTGGCGTTGTCACGCGCCACGGCCTCACCGGAAGAGGCCCCGAAGATCAAGACAACGGTGTTGTTGCCAGGTAGAAAATATTCCCCCCTACGACCCAATTAATGTGACCTAGTTGCTCGCAGTGATGCGTGAGTATGTAGTTTGTAGGCCACTTAAAAAAAAGTGGTCGCGGAACCGTGTGATACGAGGTCGCGCGCTGTATGAAACGAGGTCGCGGGCCCGTATCTGGGCCACAGGGTTGCAGTCTGCTGCTTATTTCTGCAGGAAATGATGGGAGGATCTGATGTCAAAAAGACGTGAAAGAATTTGTTGACACGAGTGAGCCATGAGGCGTCGGTGAAAATTAAGTTTCACACACACATAACTCATTTGTGGCGTTAAACGTGCCCGCTTTAACGACCGCTTCCCGAGCGGGCGATAAGTTGTATCTAATTGGGCTCTCGTCAGATTGAATGAAGTGCATTAAGTTTACTGATTTGGAATGACGTTCGGCTGGGGAAATGCTGTGAAAGCCACGTGACCGGTGGTAGTTTCCAGTCCTGAGCAGCAGGGGGCGCGCTCGCTCCATCGCTCACATGGAGGACACGTGGTTCAGGTTCTTGACTGCAGCCGTTCCATTGGTTAATTGCGCCAGCCACTGATGAACGCAAGATCCTTACTCATTGCGCCGCTAAGAGAAATGGCTTGGAGGTTGTGTTTCGGAGCTGCAGTTTGGGTTTGCTCACTCGGGTGATGCATCTGGATGGATTAATCGATAATTTAAATGTGACGGTATGGTTTAATTACGCACTGTTGCTGGTGCATCGAACTGGTAACACGATGTAACACGATTTTTGTTCCTGGGTAGTAAGTGTTATTTTCTAATTGGTTATGCCGCAAAAGTATAGAAAATGGCTATTATTCCCCACAAACTTTGCTTTTGTGACCAGGACTTTACGTGAAGGAATGACACAAATGCACACCACGTTTTCTCATTGAAAATAGGTAAATTTCAAAGTATCACTGTCCTGGTTACAAAAGAAAAGTTTGCGTGGAATAATAGCCATTTTCTGTAATTTTGAGGCTTAAGCAATTAGAAAATAACACTTACTACCCAGAAACAAAAAAGAAATACGTGATGAGCCACTTAAGTTGAGCTATCATTTATGATAGCCAGGTCACTTCTGAAAAAGAGGCAATGTAGCTCAATGGGCCTCACCCGGTCAAATAATAATTCTTGAGTTGAACAGATGAGTGCACCTCCGATTTAGCGTGGTTGGCGACGTACGTTGCGAAAGGAGTTCAACGTTCGTACCGGTGCGATGGTCTCGCCGTCTGCTTGAACGTGCGCCTTCGTCCGTGCGCGCCACACAGGAGTGCGACGGAGGCTCGCCGCTGCGGGCGCGACGCGGCGCGGAGGAGCGCGACGAGGGGATCGGCTCGCCGGACATCCTGGAGGAGGACAAGGCGGAGGAGCTGCGACGTGACCTCCTCGAGCTGCGCGCCTCCCTCGACAAGGAGCGGCGCCTGCGTCTCCTCCTGCAGGAGCAGGTGTGGACCCTGGGGGGACGGAGGAATGGGAGTGGATGGAGAAGGGAGGGCAGGCGGGCAGAGGGAAAGACGCGTAAGGGATGAGAGTTCAGGGTGCCTGGAGTGGACACAAGAGACTGGGTTAGGAACCAGGAGCGACCCAGTTGGAGGGGGTTCGTGCCGATTCCACTTGGTGGTTTTGGAGCGCGGAGCTCCCCGGGGGCGTGAGGATTGACGCCACTCTGGCAGCTCGGTGACTTTTAACATCGTGGTGGGTGCAGTGGCCGCTGGTGCCTGCAGGGGTCACTTGATTCTCATAACGTGCAATGTACACGAATCCAGAAATGTGGATTCTTATGCTCGAGGACGCCGCGCGTATCTGTGTACTTCTGCTCGTGCGTGCGTGAGTGTTTGCGGTTGCGAGCGTTTATTTGTTTGTTGCCCGGGCTGAGCAGGTGCGCTCAATGGAGGCTCAGCTGTACCCGGAGAAGCTGAAGGGAATCGCTCAGCAGCTGCAGATACAGCCACCCCACCGGGACACGGCGCTACGGATCGACCCGCAGCAACAGCAGCAGCAGCAGCAACTACAGATTCACATTCAGCAACAGCAGCAGCAGCATATGCTGCAACAGCAACAGCAGCACATCCTAGGACACAAGCTACAGCCGCAGCGTTTGTCGGAGGTGCGTGTGCTTGTGTGTTTGTGTTGTTGGATCGGTGTTTGTGTTGGTGTGTCGGTGTTTATGTCGGTGTGTGCGCACTCTTTGAGCTCATCGGATTCCTCCAGTATAAATAAATATTAGAATTCTGAAATCCTACGCTTGCATCACTCCTTTCCTGGCTTCACTTCCCTGTCTTCCTAGCCAGGAAGCGTGTGCAACTACCAAATCCTTGTCCTCACATTCACATCCATCCACAGCCATGCGCCTCCTCGCTGCCTCTGCAGCCTTCTCCCAGCGGCTCCTTCCGCTCCCTCCGCTGCACTGACTCTTGCCACCTCGATCCCAAGATCCGCTTCTCCACCACTGGCGGGCAATCTTTTAGCCGCTACGCTCTCTCCTCCGGAACTCCCCAGGCAACTTCCCCCTGCTCTCCCCCCCTCTCTCTCTATCTCTCCTTAAAACCTTCGTCTTCACCTACACGCTCTTGAGACATTGTTATGTTATAAGCGCATTACAAATGGCAGTTGGTAATGGTTCACCCCCCCCTCCCTCCCTACACCAGCAATTTGATTGTCATAATATGGTGTTAAGATTTTTGTTCAAGGATTGATTCGTGTGTGTGTGCGTGGATTTGTATGTGTGTGTGTGCAGCCCCAGCAGCACCCGACAGTGATTGTTCCGGCACCGCCGCCACACCACGTCACCGTGGTAACCATGGCGCCGCCCTCCTCCGTCATCTCCAGCGCCTCCACGTCCCGGCAGAACCTCGACACCATCGTGCAGGTGACGCTGCTCGCCCGCTCGCTCGCGACTGCGCGTGTTGATAAAGGAAACGGCGTACAAGGTACGCGCACGTGCGTGGGTTTAAGAAGGATGGCGTATAACGGTACCGTGTGCGCACCGCGTGTGTGGGCGTAGGCCATCCAGCACATAGAGGGGACGCACGACGGAGGGCGGCCGCTGCACGCCGTGGCGGCCGTGGCGGCAGCGTCGTCGTCGCCGCTGCGGAGGGCCGGCTCCCCCTCGGACGAGGACGGGGACGACGCGGACGAGGGCGCGCGTAGCGAGGTCATCATCAAGCGGCTGCGGAGGCACGTGGTGGCGGCCGCGGCGGCCGTGGCGGAGGTAGAGGAGGAAGGTGAAGAGGCGTCGGATCGTGGCCACGACGGGAGCCGGGTGCCGCACCGGCACGAGGGCCGCGTGGTCGTGGAGATGATCGAGCAGGCCTCGTGATGGCCGCCCCCTCACCCCCCCCCCCTCCCCTCCCACCACCATCACCGCCGCGCCACGCACGTCGCCGCGCTCCGCGGAAACGGCAAAAGCAGTCGGTGGAGAAATAATTGGAGCAAACGAAAGCGGTCAAAAAAAGTGTCGCTAAAACGTGGAAAGCGGACAGAAGCAGTAATGTGAAGTCTCCAGGGCAGCTCTGAAGTGCTGGAAGGGTCAGAGGGGAGGGGGTGGAGTTGATGTCGCGCATCCGTCGTCGATCCGAGAGCGAATGGCGGCAGCGTGGCCACGGACATGAGGTTGCACGACACAAAACACGGGGAAGAAACGTGGCGGTGGCGGGTACGCAGCCCCCCCGCCCTCCACCCCCCCCCCCCCCCCCCACCACGGAAAACGAGTTTGTATCCCCACCCAAACATTGTGATGTCTTGTCGCGCAAAACAAAAAATAGTTTAAAACCAACCACAACCCCTGATGAAACCGTGCCCCCCCCCCCCCTGCTCTCCCACCCTCACCTGCACTCACAGGCAGGTGCGATGCTCAGCTCGGATGTCTCTTGCGAAATGAAAGCACTTAGATTGTTTTTTTTACAAAAAAACACGCGCGGCCTACGGTTGGCGTAGGTTGACGTACAACAAAAAAAGTAAAAAAAATGTTATCGAGTTCCTTAGTTTGCAGTCATTTTGAAGGCTGTAGAGTAGCAGCGTTTGTTGAAGTTAGGTGTAAGTCTTAATCATGCCTTGTTAGCTTATTTTAATTTTATTGTTTTAATTTTTTATGACAAACTATATTTTTGGTAAAAAAAAGAAAGGAAAATAAGCTGTGCTGTTTTTGAGGCTTATTTTCGTGGCTAAGCGGTTGCCTGTGTTGAAGCCAGCGCAGGTCTCTTTCAGATACTTGACGGACAAAAATTTACTAATTCGCCGACGTAAGGCTGCAAGCGTGAACGTCGCAAGTCGGAAACGCGTCCGCATCCAGAAGACTTGGGACATTTTAGATTTTCAAATCCCGGTCTCTGATTGGGTGGTCTCTTAATCTCTACATTAACTGGCTTAATCCACAAAAGGTACAATCCAACGTTTGACCTTCAGCCGCTGAGGTTTGACCTTTTTAAACTTGGCCTAGGCAGGAGCAGCAACCGGCTCGTCACCCGGAAGGCAAACCAGTGGCAGTGGTGTCAAGCAAACAGTTAAAACGAAACAAATGAAAAGGGACTGTAGTTGCTCTTAAGGTGCGCGAGCGGCAGGCGTGTTGTGTGCGTGTCAGCGCGAGTGCTCTGTGCCTTTGAACTCTGACATGAAGTGGAATTGAGGGGGGGGGGGGGGGGAGGGGTTTAGGCCGGCACTGGGCAGCGAGCAGTGGAGCGGGGGGGGGTCGGCTATAGTGTATATTTTCTTCTGTGTTTCCGGCGCCGTGCGCGACTTCGCACACGGTTGTGAGCACCGCCGGATTGGTGCTACACACATAGGGGCGCGAGGGTGGTTGGGGTTGGGGCCGGGGGTGGGGAAGTGGGGTGCCTGCCTGCCTGCGCGAGCCTGAGTTCTAGGCACGTGTGTTGTGTGTGTTACCTGGGCCGCGGCGTCTACACGCTTGCTCCAGGCGTTACAGGGAACTCTTCGCGCTGCGCAGTTGGGAGTGGGTGGAGACTTTTAAAAAAATCTTTGTTCTGTGGGCAGCGTTGGGGGTGGGGGGGGTGCCCTCCTACCGGCGAGCCTCGAATTGAAGCGACCGCAAGGCAGAGAGAGGGACCCGTGCAGGTGACTGGAGTCGACTGATTCACACTCCAGAGTTCTGGTTTGCAGAAACAGCTCTTCTCTTTCGCATCGACGTTTCGTCTCCCCGCGGTGTTGTCCGTCATCTCGCGGTTTCGCGGTTTTAGTAATACCCATAGCTGCTGTGCGAAGGGGGGGGGGGGGTGTGGTGAGGTTACAGCCGCTGAACCCCCCCAGCCCAAGCTCGCCGGCGAGAGAGGGTCTCTCAAAAACAATCACATGACAACTGTCGTTCTCTAAATACTGTATATTCGTCGAGCGAAGTGAATTGATGGCTTACAGCAGGAGCTTCATGCCCCCCCCCACCCGCCATCCCCACTCTCTCTTCGTAAACAAACTCAATTCCCCGAGTCAATACAGTTTTCCCTCATTAATCGCGAGGGATACGTTCCGGAGATACTCGCGAATAGCAAATGTCACAGATATTGCCGTCCAAATATGTACGCGCAGTGTCTGCAGATGCTTCTCAAGCGTCGAGACGTTCTCCATCTCATGACTTTATCTTATCGCTTTCTCTCAACTCTGTCGATGCAGTCGTGTAGAGAATTCCAGATGCAATTCGTGTGTAGCAATGTACTTGGATAGCGAGGAAATTCTGTCCACGGCTTGGGGAGGAAGGCAAGCGCTTGTCCCACGGTTGAGCCGATTCCAGGTGTTGGGTCTCTGAAAGCGCGTGGTCGTACTGGGACGTGGTTGATTGAAACCTAAACCCGAGCCAGGGTTTCCTCATCCAAGAAAGAGGACTCGCGCATCCGCTAACGAGCACAATAAAATGTGCATTAGCGACATTTTGCTTTGTCGGAAGATTTAAAAGGGTAGATACCGTCGTCAGTCTTGGGCGAGTTTCATCCAATTAATGGAAAATTCGTTTTTGTGATACCAGCGGCAAATATCGTTCGTAAGGGGGGGGGGAGTAGACCGCTGGAAGGTGGTGCACGTGTGTGTACATTCAATGAACTCGATACAAGACCCAGTTAGAGTCCACTCGCTGTCTTGGGAGCTCGGCGACCATAATTTACCACCTTAGTTGAAATCTGGACATCTCTACCAAGGAGGAGCATCGCTCCCGCAGTGGATGTTTCTCTTTGTAACACAACGGTATATTCGTTATTAGTCCTACACTATTGGGCACCGACTACCAATTTGGCAGTCTGCACACATGCTGGCACAGCATGCCGACAAGAGGCACCACAAACTTCCAGTCCTTTTGAATGGTCACGTCCGATTGCCGCAGTGGCATGGCATAGGGCCGTGATCCTGAACGTGGGTCAGGCCAACACACATTGTCACATCTTGTCACGTTGCTGTACCGCTGAAAGGTGGAATGCGCTCACACTTGTCTCAGTCAGGATGCTGTGCATGTACAGAACGATCTCACGGGGCTTGCAAGGTATCGGCGGCCTCTGCCGCACTTCAGCGAGACTTGGGTATATTTCACAATGACGCGTGCGCGCACACCGGTTTTGTTGTTCCGCCAATTCTCGCCGGCAGGAGAGAGCGCGTTTTCCTTGCAAAACCAACAGCAGCGCTTGCGAGCCTCCACCCTATGGGTTTGTCATCGTCTTTTTAATATTAATCCGATGGCAGGTAAAGTAAAACCCCCAGCCGGTGTGTTTTTAGGTTTACATGCAGCAAGTCGAAATTCAGAGAGCAAAAAAAAAACGAAGGTCGAGGGATCTCTGTCGTAATTTTTAACTGTCCATGGCAATTACAATTTGGATACTTTTGATCTCCGTGCATCTTAAATGCGAGGTCTCGCATTGGCCGTATTTGCCCTTGACAACCACCGCTCTTGCCTGGCTCTTGTGTGTTGTGGGAGGGTTTGTTTTTGTGAATTGCGATGCGGTTATGAAACTTCTGCCACTGTCGGGGGTGCGTGCAAGCAGGCGTTCAGTCCCCACGTGTCATGGCCTTTTATATATTTTTATTTTTTAAACTTAAGTGTTATTAACGTTTGAATGTTATCGTTATTCATGTTATTAACGGAGGGACACAACTCTCGACTTTCCGTTGAACGTCGCACAGTGAATCCACTTCGGCTACAGACACATTCCAGAAGTAAACGACCAGTGCTCGTACAAAATATTAAATTGCGCTTAAAAACTATTTCGGCGAGGTTTTTACAGTGAGCTCTTACAGGTGTTTCTGCGATTTTTGGCCTGGTTAAATTGTTTTGTGGTTTTAAATCTCACTCGGGTTTCCCCAAAATCCCTTTAGGCGGTGGTGAGAACGGCGCGTGTATAATCCACAGCTCGCGCGGGAGATTTAAAACGAGCGGAGCGACGCGCCTGGGATTTGCCCTGCGTTGACGCTCAATCGGCTCGAGTTGAGTTGCACCCGCCCCCCCCCCCACAGCGCTGCTCTCACTCGCTCGAGCGGGTGCGACACACAGCGCGGTTTCAGTCCGCGCGTCGCATCAAAACCCCCCCTGGCAACATTGCCGTTTAAAAAGGGGTTCGCATTTCCCCGGGTTCTGGGAAGACCTTGGAAGTCCTGGACCGGATCGCCGGGGATTCTTTCAGAGTGGAGAACGTGAGATTGTCCTGGAGCGCGTCGGAGCCGCAGCCTAGGAGGAGGAGGGGTCTCTCCGGTAAAGAGGCCCCAGGGTTTTTGTGAAGAGGCCACGGTGGGCTTGGGAGGGGAGGGTTGGGGGGGTCTATATCCGACGGCTGTTCTCAAACCCCAGTCCCTGGTTGTTGTCACCTTTGTGGCCCAGCCTGGCTTTTGGGACCTGTGGGCTGGTTGCATAAATCGGCTCAAGTGAACGTTTCTCTTACAATGACACTGCTCGAGATAGGAAAGAGACATTTTTGCTTGGCGGTGGGGGGGGGGGGGGTTATGCAACCAGCACCTGAATGTGGGAAATTAAGTTGGAAGTGCTCCTGTGGTAAAGGACTCCCACTCCCTGCAGGATGGGGGAAGAGACGACTGCCGTTTGAGAATAGCTGGTCGTGACAGCTGTTATCAACTCCGCCGCTATTGACCCACCCCCACAAAGTTCTGCTTCCCGTGTTCACCAACCTCCAATCCCAATGCGGCGGGGAGGTTGGCGGTGCCCAATGGGCGAACTGCTGGGATGGTTTAACGGGGTGGGTCCACAGTACTGGGAGTTGGCAACGGCTGCTCTAACATTACGCTGTACAGACACAGCACTTGCTGAATGTAGGTTGTGAGTCGGGCAGCAAGGAGGATAGGGCATTTAGTCCACGTATAGTACCTCTTTTTAGTGTGTATAGAGGAGAGGATCAGTAAAATAATAAACTTTCTTTACAAAACCTGCAAGTGTCCTGATTTTTATTTGCATTGTTGATATTTGCGCTCGACACGGCGAGGTTAAACCTCCATTCCTCCCATCGCTCGCAGATATCGGTGCACCTCTCCGTGTTGGAGAACAAGCTCTGGATCTACATCTGAGAGCCCATGAATGTACCTGTTATATGCACACCAAGGGGGTATTGCCACCTTCCCCGCATGCCCCGTTCGAGGGATCCAATTCAAATGATCTGTAATCGTCAATTAAAATAGTGAAGTAAGAAAAATTGGTTTCATTTGTCACCGACTTGGCTAAGACCAAGTTGCTTCAGTCGAGAACTATTTTATGGGCTGCCAAAACCTGGACTCGAACCTCGGATCTCAACAGTGCCAGCTTCGTGCTGCGACAATTAGTCCAGCGAGTAACCTGGGCAACTTCCGAACGGTGTTTACAAAAATATTAATCACTGTTCCCAACCAAGCTCACGCCGTCCATCATGAATGCTTTACCCCCAAGTGTACTACTCTGTGAACATGAAACCCATCGACGCACAAACCGGCAGCTGTGTCCCCCCCAGCGCTGCCACGAGGTTTCTCTGCTTGGGTTCATTCCCAGAATCCCATGCCTGCTGCCTGCACAACATCACACCATGAGGGGCTGTCCTCCACCACCCTCCTCGGCACCACAACCGATGGCGTCCATGGTAAGCCATGTTCTAACAAGCAAAGGAACTCGACAAAGGAGGCTGTGTTCACCTATAGAATGTGTTTATTCATCGTTTTCAATGAAACCCAAACAGCCCCGAGCATCGCTCCAGGATTTGAATAGATGGGCCACATTCGGCGCTCCACCACTGGAGGATGCGAAGGGACGAGAGGTTGGGAATTATCAGTAGACGAAGACAAGGAAGACACAACCGACGTGTGCTCAGCGAGGGGTGCGGGGGAGATGAGAGGTCGGAAATCAAGATAAGGGCTTAATAAGCAAAGAGCTGCGGCCGAGGCAATGACGGCAAAACCTGCCACCCCCCTCCCCTCGGAACGCTTCATTCCCACACGTGACACGTGACAGCCCCTAGACACGCTTTGGGCAATGTTCGCGCAATTCATTGAAACTACGAACACTTTACTTTGCGAACCTCTGGTGTCCTGAGCCCGACTGATGCAGAGACGGCAAAGGCGACATGAACGCGCACCAGTTTTGCTTGTCGCGCGAAGACAAGGCAGGTTCACAAGCTGCCGTGTCTGATCACTTCGAATTGCTCGTTAAACACATTTCCCAGAGCTCGATAAAGATAATTTAAGCCCCGTTTTAATCTGTACTCGTGAAGGACTGCTTCCCCTACCATGTGTGACCACATCTTTTCACCTGGGGAGTGAGATTCCACGGCATTGACAGGAGACAAAACGGCTCGACAACAAAAAAATCCACGACATGAATTTGCCAAGTCATGCACGCATCTAACAAAAAAAAATACCCATCGAGCAACGTACTAAAAGAACTTGATTTAGCAGGTGGAGAAAAATATAAAAAGCACTCTAAATTTCATGTCTCTTCAAACAGGACTCGAGCGTAAAGCCTCCGTGCTGTTCCCACGCAGTGGACTAACACCATCTGTGGACTAAAAATGTATTGAAGCCGTGAGTGACCCATCATCTCCACCACCCGTTTCTCTTATCCCATTAGTTCCCCCTGAAATCCCACCACACATTCATTTCGTTCACCGCTGGCTCTGTTTTTTTTTTGTTTTTAGCGTGAATAAAACCAGCGATCGGGGATTGCTGGCGCGAAGACCGAACGAGCGCCCTTCCTGAGGTGTGATCCGCCGATGAGATGTTTACAACACAACGTGGATTCAGTGCTGTCCAGCCCGTCTGTCCCCCCCTCCCCACCCCAATAAACAAATGAAAAATGTAACAAAGAAAAGTATCCAAAAAAATAACTGCCAGGTTTTAACGTAATTGTCACAGTCATTATCACTTAAACGATCGCAGGCAGAATTTCGCTCAATTGCAGCCATTCCAGCTATCACTGCCCACCGCTGCCCCTTGACTGCCTTTCCTAGTTGTGGGATGCTTTCCCTCGGGGGGTTTGTACCCCCACCCCTCTGTGTCCCCTGAACCCCCCCACTACAAGAGGGGACTCAATGACCAGCCCCCCCAAACTTGGAAGAGAGTTTTCCGATGAAGCTCATGATCTTGGGGTTTCCCTGGTACTTGGACATGTTGGCCGGGTTCTGCGCCACATCCTGGAAGGCGGCCATGATCTCGGGGTCCTGGGTGAGCACACGGACATGCAGACGCACGTATAAAGACAAAGATCCTACCGTATAGCCTTAACAGACTGTTGGGGCAAGTGTTGTTAGCGAGTGGCACCTATGAAGGCTGGCACTTTGGCATACGAGGGGGTGGGTGGCCAACACCACGCCCGGCCGCTTGTCTCCCTAGTGGCGATGTTTGCACACCGCACCAGGTACTCATTTCAGGCTGAGTCGACCTACGGGAGGGCCAGGACCTAACTGGTGTTGGCCGCGAGCGGGAATCAAACTCGAGTCGCCGGGTTTGTGGTGCAGTATGCGAACCGCTACGCGACCACTCTCCATGGAAAAACAAGCACGGACACGAACAGGCATGCACACAAGCCACATACATAAATACGCGAGCATGCAGACGCACAGACACGCCACTTGTCATTATGACGACAATCAAGATCTCTCTTCTAAAAATCACCATCACACATTAACAACCACCTAGCTTCCTCACCATTACTATCATTTGTGCATCCTCAAAATCATCACCAACATCAAGATGTTACACCTCCTGAGCCCTTTTCACAATCAAGACCGTTACACGTCGCCACTGCCATGCATCGGGGCCCTTCCCCCACTGCCGACACGCACCTGTACAGCAGCCATGACGTCTGGGTCACTCAGGAGGTCGTTGAGACCTCCCATTCCTCCTGGCATTCCCCCGGGCATTCCCCCGGGCATCCCTCCTGGCATTCCTCCGGGCATTCCTCCCGGCATGCCCCCCGGCATTCCCCCCGGCATTCCTCCGGGCATCCCCGGCATTCCCCCAGGGAATCCCCCAGGCATGCCCCCTGGGAAACCTACAACGCAGCACAGGAGTCAGTGGAGACAGTTTCAGTTTTTAGTTTCATTTAATAGGATTTACCCAGTGAGCCATTCGGCTCTTAAATTGGGTTCAACCGCAACAAACAATAAAATTACAAGATACACCTAAAATTCGTTGTACACGAATCTAAACATCACATTACGTAAACAATAAAATCCTACAGAAAAAGCACAACCCGTCCATGCTGCGTACAAAAAGTGCAAAAAAATTCCATTTCGATGTTTGATCCCAATAAAAATCATAATACAATACAGATCAAAACTTTAAGTATAAATCTATACTAAATAAAAAAAATCGGGCCAAACCAAGCCCCTCTAAAACTTACTAAAACAATGGTATGTAAACAACGCAACAGTTTTCCCAACAAATGTGATTATAAGTTTACAATAGCGTCACATCACACGCCAATTTCTCTCACACACGTAAACATGTGGAGCAAAGGATCAACAGACCCCGTTTCTGCGAGCGTAGACTCAGCTCTGTCCAGCTCCACGACTGGCAGAAATGATTTCCGCGCCCGGCGTGCCACATCCAGTATACGTTTAGCTAAAGCCGTAGCTACTCGTGACCGGAAACACGCCGAGTGAGAAATTAAGCCCTGGGTAGAACATATTCTTAGGTTTCTCTCACTTGATACAGCTATCGTGCTGTGACGGTTCCACCTAAAGACGGAAGCTTGTGTTGCCTCCGAAACGCCGCAACTTATTTATTTATATTTTACTTTTATCCATTTTAATTTTTTACCTACGTGACTTTACCGAAAAAACCTAAGAATATAAATCCTTGCAGTCACGAAAGCTTCAAATCTAGAATTAATATCCTGGGTAGAACGTTCAGGCTACGGCTGGTGTGGTATGACTTGGGTTTGAAAATGGATGTTAAAGCCACAATGTTTGTCAGTTCAAATGTGCGTACATGCATGGGTGTGTGTGTGTACATGCATGGGTGTACGTGTGTATGTGTGCATGTACGCGTGTGTGTGTGTGTATGTACACGTACCAGGGAATCCCCCAAAGCCTCCCCCGCCAGCCTGCCGCCGTGCGTCCTCCTCCTGTACACGCACGCGCACAGACGCGACTCCTGCGTTAGCCTGCTGGGACCGCTGGCAGGGTTCACGTGACCTACGAGTTACGATGAGCAGACGCTGCAAGAAACTTGGCGTGCGTGCGTGCGACGTGTATGTCATGCACTTTCACTGCAAGAATATTGGCGTGCGTGCACTTCACGTGTATTTGCGGTCCACTTGCTGTGCGATAAATGTGCAATTGTTCGTATGTTTAAGCGTGTTCTGGATGTGTTCTTTAGCGTGCATTATCGGCGTTTCTCGTGTGTCGAGCACGCCATTAGTATGTACTCCGTGCGTTTCCTGCGTGTTTGGCGTTTTTTGCAAGCACTACATACGTGTGCGAATCACGTGTCCCATGCAAGTTTTTAGGGTGCACTGCACGCGTATTCTCTGTGCGTTCAGCACATTACGTGTGCGTTTCCCGTGTTCCACGCGCGGTTTTTGCCATGCGTCAATTGCGTTCTGGGCGTGTTGGCCGCGCGTTTGGAATCGTGTTCTACGTCGTGCGTTTCCCCGTGCGCCAAATCCGTGTTTTTACGCGTGGACGTGTTCTGTGTACGCGTCTCTCCCGCGTCGGCGACGTGCCACTCACCCTGCGCGCCCTCTCGTGCTCCTCCTGCGCTCGCTTCACGCGTGCCTTGCGGTCGCACAGCTCCCGCTCCAGGCGCTTCCGTTCGTACTTGCGCTTGTGCTCCGCGATGCGCTGAGCCTGAGCCGCCACCGAGACAAAACGTCGTCACACCACCACCGCGGCGTCGCACCACCGCTCAAGCACGCAAATCACGATGGCGATAAATCACTGCGGCGTAACGCGACGGCGATTCGCAACGACGCCACAAGGCGACACGAAGAACAGAACGCGTCCGCGCTCGACGCCTGTCAATGGTCTCATCGCCCACGCGCATTCCAACTCCACGCTCCATCCCAAGCGTTTGCCTTCACGACTCTAAAAGCGAGGACCAAATATGGATCAGGTCTCACCGGCGCCGCTCGGAAAGACTCGCGAAAGCATCTATCTGGCTGAGTTTTGGTAGAGGGAGCCAGCTGCTTCTGGGTCAGAGAGCAGGCAGGGAGCAAAGGTCACACCTTGCAACTCTGCCTCGGCATTTTGGCCACCCCGACTCCTGACCTTCGTTGGGGGCCACAACTCCTGGTGCTGTAGCTCAGACCGCGAATATTTCATTTCAAGTGACTTACGACGCAGCCACCGCTGTTGTGTCCCGATCGATAGTTTAAAAATGTCACAACGTAAAAACACTCTTGAAAAATAAAACGTTCACTGCCAGTTGTGCTGCCCCTTTAGTTTATTGCCCCCATTGATACAGGGAGTTGAGGAGGAGATACACGGCCAAGGGTGACGTGGTTCTGTCCCAAAAGCAACCTGGCGGTGGAGACTTTTTATCGCGAAGAAGCCTACGTTTAGTTTGAGCACTGCAAGTAAAGTCTGCCTTCAGACACTGGCAGAGCCAGTGGGGGGGGGGTGGCATGTGCCGCCCCAATGATCCGATCGAAATCCTTAATTTAGATCGGATCATTGGGGTTTATTAGTAATAAATCGGCATTTTGCGACCCCCACTGCCACTGTGTAGCATATTATCACGTGCCAGGGACTCTATGAGATGAGTCCATAATTGGCAATAAGTAACGGCAAAGCGGTTATAAGTGACTCAGAATTGTAAGCAGTTGCGTATATAGTACACGACTTCCCTGAAGGCAAACACCTTCAGCGAGCGTGATGCCGATCACACAACGCAGTTCGGATTCGACCCTCATTCGATGGCTGCGCTGTTGCCGCACATGCGTCAAATAAAAAGCAAGGGACTAGTCCTTACTTTCTAACAACTCCTATCATTTTTCATTGCTGGAGGGGTTGCCGCCCCCCCCCCTACCTGAAAATCCTGGCTCTGCCATTGCTTTCAGATATACTTGCGTCGGTGAAGACAACGTGAAGCTTGGATTCGCCACGCTGCCAAATGACTAATTTAAACTTGCAGATAATGAACAAACGTCCGTCTTTCATGTTTATTTTTAAATTGCAGCTCGGGTTGCTTTCTCCCTTGAGAGCTGCAACAGCTGAAGCTTCTCGCGTCGTAACTCAGACGTCACCGCTGAGCTCTGCACGTCGATTTTTTTCAGCCCCGTGGTTGTTCGTCTCTCTGGCCTTCACTTGCATCAAATGTTCCACGGCACGCGGACCCACGACGGTCGAATGCTCAAAGTGGGCGTGGATTATCCCGTGAGCAATCAAAAGATGTCAAAACTATTTCCTTGCTCAAATGAGCAGAGGTATTGGTGCTGATCACAGCTCAACAGAGCCTGTGAGGTGCAGAGTCCACATTGCTATGATGGGGGAGAGTCTAAACAAAGGATAACCACTCTTGATCTCCCCATACAGTGGTACTCATTTTATCGACACAGGAAGAACAGTGGACCGAGTAACTCCCCCCAACCATGATTTGAACTCTTGCAACCTTGTCAACCACGAGTCGCTCACCCTACCCCGTTTGTTGTCACCTCTAAACTCCTGGCAATATTGAACCCACCACAAGCATCATGTTTTTCTTACTCTATTTAATTTGCACACAAACATACGCAACCCTTCACCAACTTCCGTGAAGTATGCTAAAAATAAACCCATGACCCGCATGATATGGAGGGACACTTATTTGTGTATTAAGAATGGCCGGAAATGATTCCTTTTATATGCACACACATTTCTATGATTGTTCAAATACCACATTTGTCAATCACAAGTCACCGAAAGGGGGTGGAAGCTTGTGTGTGGGGGGGGGGGGGGAATTGAGGTTGGGGAGGGGGGGGGGGATTGAGGTTGTGGGGTTGGGAAGGGAGGGAATTGAGAGTTAAATTTACTGTCAGACGTAAGTGGCAGGCCCCCACGTGTGCCAAAGTCACGTGCCAGCCTCCCCACTCGGCAACTTTACATGAGCTCTGTCTGTGTCTCCTTTCCTCGCAGCCTCTCTCATCGGCCAGGCTCTCTACGACTCCAAGTCTATCTCCGTCTCCAGCAGTACACACATTTTAGAATTCAAACACCAATAATAATAATACATCTCCTGCCTCTCCGTTTCTTCTGGACGAGTCTGCCTCCGAGACCACCAACCTTCGCCGCTGGACAATGCCGCCGCTCAAAGTCACCCTGCTCTTCCTGCTGATTCTCGCGGCTCGTGCCGACGGTAAGCGTCAGTTCTGTTCTCCCTCCCAAACGCGCGCGCTCGCTCTCGGGTGTCGTCCGTCACAAGGGACGTCGGGTCGAGCAGGACTTTACAGGCCTCCTGTGCCACCTGTGAGGTTTGGCATTCATTTTTTGGGATTTCCAGCTCTTGCATTGGATTTTTAGAATTTGCGATTCGCAGCTCTTTGCTGATAACACCGATGGACGAGGGCTCCCCCATGCCGCGCAAGGCCAAGCGGTTGGTCCGAGCATACTTCACCACACTGGTCAGTGCAATTTAAAGGAGTGGCGAGGGGGTGCAAGACCAACTGAGATTTAACCCGCTTCTGATGTTAGCCAGGCAATGAACCGAGGTTCGCGGGTTCAGACTGCAGTGTGCTACAAACCAATGCGTGACCAAAGCAAAGTGATTTCCTGGTCGAATAAGCATTGAGAGACCGGTGCTCATCGCCTGTTCACAGCCCTGAACCTGTGGTGAAAATTCCTTCCTGACAAAGTGGTAATCATTTTATCGACCATGGGGGGGGGGGAGGTGATAGGCTGATTTAACTCAAACCAGGATTTGTACTCGGAACCCTCCAACTGTGAGCCAATTTCACTGCTGCTGTGCCACTTGGCCGGGATACTGCGGCAGCCGTCTGCTTGAATATAATGTCAGCTCTTAAAAATAACGCTACGTTCACAGGCCGACCCCGACCTTGTTGCGATACCTTTTGAGAGCGCTTTGATGTCTCTGGGTCGTGGGGGGGGGGATCGTGATTTGATCGAATTCACCATGGCGGGCAGTGTGCAGATTAACGTGGAGATGGGGAGCATAAACACTGGACTGTAGTCCAGTACGAGGATGGGGGTTTTCTTCCCTTACAGCAGCCTACAACACCTGCTTAATGGATGGTGGTCGCCCATCCAAACACTATCCAGACAACTTTGCTTTGCTTCCGAGATTCGATGAGATAGGAAAACAAAGTACTGCACAAATTAAGTGACACCCGTGATTTTTTGAGCGCAGTAACCCATGACATACACATGTGCGGAGTTCTCTACTTGGGCCGACGAATGAAACGATTCATCGCAATGTTCTTTATTTACCCAGGGAAGCTTCGTTTAACCTCACCATTCTTTCAGCAGGGCTAAACACATTGGGCTGTTTGGCCAATTCCAGCAATGGGTGTTTGGCATAATCAATGTTCACTTGTGGGAAGGCCCGACACGGAGCCCGTAAAACCCTTCCTGTCAAAACTCTCGCGACAGCAGCGGAGTTGCGGAAAATTTCAAAACCCCGCTTAGTATTTCCATCGGAATAAAAGGGCACCCACAATATGCAAAACCCAGACGTGCAAATCTCATTTCAACTAAAATTAGAGATGATAATTTGAGCAAACAGGCTACTGTGGCATGCATGTAGTCAGAGCTCAAGCAATCAAAGTGGTTTTCTGCTCAAATAAGCATCAAGGAACAGCAGGTTCAGAGCTTAGAGCTCTGAAACTGCGTGAAACTTGCACAATCCTATGGCGGTGGGTGAGTCGATCCACAGGACAAACTCTGTTTTGGTTTTCCTCTGCAAAGTGGTAATAATTATATCGGTTCCTAAGTAAACCGCAGAGGTCGCAAACGGGTTTTGATTCCTTACCCGTACCCGGCCGCACCAGGGTCGCAAACGGCTACCCGTACCCGGCCGGGTCCAGGTAGCCGGGTATCGGGTACCCGGTTGCGACCTCTGGTCAACCGTCAACCAGATTTTGAACTCGCAACCTTTCTGATAGCGAGCCACACGCTCTGGTCACCTAACGTGGCCGGAAAAGTAACCACCCCGCCGAATGCAACCCGTGCCCACGGCGTAACGCAGAGACATCCGAGCACACGTGCACTGTACGCGTCCGTAGAGACAAATGGTTTACAGATGGCATGGTGTTTGGGCATTGCAGGTTATGATGCGAAAGTCCGTTGGTTCCTTTAACTTGCTTTATACTTGAATCGATACAAATTCTTCACGATTTATTTCACTTGGCAACAAGAGTGTGCCGATGCGATCCCCCTAACACAGTGAAACAAGTTAGGAGCGCGCACTAAAGCTACAGAGGTGGCAACAGCCCACATTTCACGAAGCCCAATAAATAGCTTGTGCCGACAGAAAGCTTCACTCTTGGACATCCTAACCCCAAGGGGTCAAGTGTCTGCCAAGACACACACGCACAGGCATACTCGCACACATCAGCCCATCAACCCTCCCCAAGTCGGGTCTCTCTCCACGACGCAACATGACTGTCATTTTACGAAATCGGTTTCTGCATCCTTGTTCAGCCACACCAGGGCAGAGGTCGCAAACAGGTTTTGATTCCTTACCCGTAACCGGCCACACCAGAGTCGCAAACGGGTACCCGTTCCCTACCCGTACCCTACCCGAAATGAGTGACAAACGGTTACTCACCAGTGACTCGCGGCCTACCCGTACCCGGCCGCACCAGGGTCGCGGCCGGGTACGGGTAGCCGGGTATCGGGTAGGGTATCTGGTACCC